GGTGGAGGGGACAGTCCAGGCTCCAGAAGCCTGTGGTCTACTGGGGTTCCCGAGGGCAGAGGGGCAAACCTCCCTTCGAGAGGAGGGCTTTCCTCGGCAGCTGAGGGAGGGGCTGGCAGGTAGTGGGTACGGCCACTCTGTCCAGTGCTAGGCAGGGGTTACAAAGAGATCAGCCCTTCCTCTCTGAAGATTCTAAGTGCAGGTTCTTTATACACAAAGGTTTCTCATAAGTAAAGGTTCTATAAGTGCAAGAAGCAAACGGCCAGATGAAACAGGACAGTCATCTTGATCCCTTTCAATGCCACGGAAGAAGCAAAGCCACCAAGCGTTTCCATGGGTCCACACCCAGGATGGAAATGCATAGCACAGGGTCCTAAACGGTAGGACCCACAACTGGCAGGTATGCTGGCCCTGAGGAAGAACAGGGCAGGTTAAATGGACGGCAGTTTTGTCTGGGGTTTGAGGTCTTCAGAAGCAGGATACGTGATTGAATAAAGTGTGTGACTGGCCATACCTGTAGGAGTGGAAGCCAGAGGCCCGATGGCACCTGTCATGGCAGCAATTCACGTGCCTGCTGTGGCTGCCAGGGACCCTGCCCTCCGCTCGCTCGCCTTCTAGTCCCTCACTTCTGGCGATGACCCTGTGTGAGCGCTGTGGCCGCACTTCGCGGATGAGGCCACCGCTGCCATTGCCTACCCAGCATCAGGCACACGGAGGCAGGCGGCCCCTCACCGTGCCGCTCGATCCCCACGGCCACAGGTCCGCGCTGGCGAGTCCCTGATGAAGCTGGTGTCTGACCTCAAGCAGTTCCTCATCCTCAACGACTTCCCGTCTGTGAACGAGGCCATCGAGCAGCGCCGCCAGCAGCTGCGTGCCCTGCAGGAGGAGTGTGACCGGAAGCTCGTCGCGCTGCGGGACGAGGTCTCCATCGACCTGTACGAGCTGGAGGAGGAGTACTACTCGTCCAGGTACAAATAGGGCTGGACCCCGTGCACGCTGGACCTGCGGACCCGGGCCCGGCCAGCAGCCCGAAGGTCCCTGCTTCCCAACCCTTCCTGGTCTCGGCAACAGAACCCTTTGTCTGGGTTTCAGAGCAGACCTCAGGGTCAGAACGTCTGATCAACAGACAGCTGATGCTGCCTCCTGGGGCCCGGGCATCAGAATGAAAATCAGAACCTCGAGGGTTGGGAGGGCCAGGCCAGTGTTTCTGTCTGGGGGCCCATCTGTCCGTCTTAATCGTCTAATCCAGGCCTAAACATGCCAGCCACGCGGGGCCAGCGCTCTTGGCTACCCAGCCCCTGTCCAGAACCCCAGTGCTTGCCCAGGGTTGTGATTCGCCATGGGTGTCACCGAACACCCACTCTGTATGTGTGTGTCGGGGTGGGGGTTCCTGGGAAGGAGGAGGAGAAAATCCAAGTGGAGTGTGGCCTTGAACGCCAGGCCTGGGCACTTGGACCAGAGTTCCCGTTCAGCTCAGCGTTATTCACAGACCACAGCCCTCCTGCGTGCTAGGCCCAATCACAGCAGTGGGCAAGGCCTGTGACGCCAGCCCTTGTGGCCTGCTTACAGTTCCAAAACCAAGGCAGTTTGAGCTGGAGGGACCCCAGGAAATCAGAATCCAGGTGTAATTTACTTACGGGGAAGCTGAGGCTGGAGAGGCCTCGCACATCCGTCGTTAGCTTGGAAAAATCAAGACTCACTCCAGCAGACGCAGGGTTGGCACCCCCTCGCCCTCGCTGGATAAATGTGTCTTTCCTGTCGTGGATTTTCATCGCTCCTTTCTGTCCCATGGCGGCCAGGCTGGGGCCAAAGATGCCCAGAGCCAGTGTGTCTGTGGCCTGAGGCTTGATTTCTGTGTGTGTTCCAGTGCCACCCCTCACGGTCCCTCCTGCCTTTACCTTCGTGGGAAGGGACAAGTGTCACTGCTCGGTTGGAGTGGTTTCAACTCTTCCAGAGGGTTCTGGGACCACCTCTCATCCCTGATGCCTATTGGCTCAGCAGACACACAGCAAGTGCCTCCTACATAGTGGCCTTCAGGGAGGGGTCCAGAGTGGTCCCTGGGGGGGGTTCAGACCCTGCTGGGGGCATTGCTCCTCGTGTCTTTGTGTTTGCCCCCTTGTGGCCCCCATGGGCCAGGGCCGTGGACTGAATGTCTGCAGGAGAGAGCTTAGCCCTGCCTCTTGAGGCTGAGGGCAATGGGGGCTGAAGGGGAACGCCTGAGAGCCAGGCTCCTCCTGTCGTGGCTCCAGGCCGTCAGTCTGGCTCAGCCAGCCTGGGGTCTTCGAGAGGCTGAGGCCCTCCGTCTGTAAATGCTTGTGGTGGCCGGGGCTCAGCTCTCAGGGCCAGCCGGCTGTGGGCCCCTCCCTGCTTGTCCCCTACACAGGCGGCGTGTCCCCCAGCCACCAGCGCTCAGCCCGTTCTCCGCGTGCATCCCCGCTGCCCACACGCTCGCTTCCCCGCTTTCTGCTCATGATTTGCTTTCTCTGCCTCTCGCCCTCCGCTCTCTACAAAACTCTGCTCTGTGTCCAGGATGGTTCTGAGGCTGGATGCTGGGGGCGGGAGCGAGAGGCAGGATGCGGGAGGAAGCCCGTGGGACAAGTGTGGGGACGGGCAGGCCCCACCCGCCCCCTGGACGGCCTCCACGAGCCATGCTGTGTTCACCTGCATCCCTGTCCTGAGAGGCCAGCTGTGCTGTCCCCACACTAGATGAGATCTGGTGCGTTGAGTGTGGCGTGGCCGTAGACTGTCCCCGTGTTAGAGACGGGAGCCTGAGTTCAAGGCGCTGGGGTCCTGTTTGAGGTCACACAGCTAGTGCAGGGCTGCCGGACAGAACGCCAGGGCCTCTGTTTCTAACCACCACCCCATTCAGGCTGAGTCCCAGGCCCAGAGAATAGACAAGGTCTCTGCCCCCAGGGGCCTTGAGAAGCGCAGGGACCATGGAGACCACATCTGGACGCTGGTTCCTGCAGCTAGAGAGTGGAGCTGGCAGCTCCCTGCAGGAGGAACATGGATGGGTCAGTGGAAGGGTCCTGCCGAGGTCACACAGCCTGCCAGTGGCTGGTCCCAAATGGGTCCCTGTAGGAGCCCCTGGAGGACCGGGAAGCAGGCGCAGCACCCTGTGCACACGGGAGGAGGGGAATGCAGGTCTGGGGTGTGATCTGTGTTTCCTTAACTGCTTCTATCTTGCTTTCCTTCCCTGGCTTCATCTCTGCCTGCTCCTGTCTCTCCCTGGGTTTCTGGTGGTGGAAAAGCTCAAGTCTATGCGAAGCTAATGATCTGCCTCTGTGCGAAGCTTACTGGAGGCTGGACCCGGACACAGACTCCGCTGACTGCCTCTCAGCCCCTCTGCTTGCATCCCCGGAGCCCAGTGCTGGCGGCCCCCTGCAGGCTGCAGCCCCTGCCCACTCCCACACTAGTGGCCCAGGCCCCACGGAGCACACCTGAGCCTCCTGGGGCTCCCCCCAGCCCCGGACCCCTAGGATCTTAGGAATGAAATCCAGTCCTCCCCTCTGGGCCCACCCCAGCCTCCACTCCCTTCAGCCCTGGTGCCCACTTGGGGAGCCACTGTGGCTTTTTTGGGAAACTTGTCAGCCCAGGGACAGCCCACCTAGAAGTGTTGGGGAGAAGGAGTGCCCCCCACCATTCCAGGGTAGCCCATCCTTCCTATTTGCTGCTTTCTGGGCTGGCTAGAAGGGAGTTTCCAGGAGAGTTTGTCTCATTGAGGACCAGCAGGGCAAGGATGCCCAGTGTTGGGAAACCTAATCTGTGCATACTATTTACCATGGGGGGAGGGGGGAAGTGCTCAGAGTGGACAGTACTAGCCAAGGCCCAGCCTCCATGCACAGCTCTGCCCACTACCTCATCCTGAGGCTCCTCTGCTAGCTGACTGCCCCTGCAGGGCTGTGGGGAAAGAGGGCTGCCCACTCATGGAAGTCAGGCAGAGTGCTTCCTAATTCTGTTGCTGCATACGTTTGGTTATTTTTGTAATAAAAGACTGTTGAATAAAACCACTTCTGCCCTTTTGCATCGCTTGGTTCCTTTTCTTGCTTTTGGACCACTCAGTCTCCCAGTGGCTGTCGGAAAAGAGCCCCGGGGCTCTGCCTAGTCAACCTTGGCCTTCAGGTCAGCCTTCTGGCCCTGGGGGGCTCTATCGGCATGGGGATCATGGATGCATTTCCAGTTCCTGGAGAGAGCTCGCTAGGATCTAGAAGGCCTTGATAGTAATACTTAGTGAATGTATTAGAAACTGCTACCGTTACTGCATGTCTTTGGGCCCGGAAGTCTGAACCTCCGGTTGCCCCCCAAGTCGGGGCTGTGGTTACCGGCATGTTAGGGAGGACCGACCGCGGGCTCCAAAGGGGATTTAGTGTTGTGCCCCGTGACCCTGAGAGGGGTCAGGACTCAACCCAGGTGGAACGAGGCCCCGTGCCTGGAGCCAGGCTCACCTGAGGGGGGCGGGGGCTGTTACCCAGGAGAGCCGGGAAGTCAACCCTGCGCCCTGTCACCGGTGCGTCCTGTCTCCTTCCAAGAGGGAGGTCAGCGTCCCAGTGTACGGAGGAAACGACAGCCCACGACCCGACACCTCCGATACTCGGAATTTATCACTAGTCACCAAGGAACCACACACTCGACAGGGCCACCGACGCGTGTTTTCTTCATCGCTTGCATGCCCGGGGTTTGGAACCTGCCTGGCGCGCAAGTCCTTTCCGGACGAACGCGGTCTCGCCAGCTTCCCCTTGGGGGCTGAGCTCCAAACAGGCCCCAATTATTGCGGGTCTATTCCAGTCGCCCCGCCCCCACCCCCCAAGGTAATCGGGGGCCCGCCGCGTACGAGGAACCGCCTCTGCCCCACAATGCTTTGCGTCCCGCCCCACAGTGCTTTGCGTTCCCCGCCCCAAAGGCTTGTTCCGGCGGCACCTAGGCCCGGTTAATCGAGCGCCGCGCGCTGGCGGCTCGGCGCTCGGCCAGCCGCGCCTGCGCACGTGGTGATTTCCGGCGAGCGTTGCTGGGCGGGTGAGGAGCTTGTGAGAGGGTCTCATCAGGGCGTCTTGTGGTGAGGGTGTTGTCTTGTGGTGAGGGTCCTGCGAGCCCGGTGGCGGCCCGGAACGCTGCACCCCGGCCCTCCTCGCTCCGAGCAGGACGGTGAGCGAGCCCCGGCTGACCCCCGAGCCTCCAGCCATGACTTCTCTGCTAGCGAAGGACGCTTACCTGCAGGGCCTGGCCAAGAAGATCTGCTCCCAGCCCAGCGCCGAGCCTCAGAAGCGCAAGTCGGGTAAAAGCGCAGCCCGGGGGGCCGGGGCTGAAGGGCTTCGGAAGGGGGACCCCGTCCATCCTCGCGGCGCTCGCGTCCCCACTCCGCTGCACCGCCCATGAGCCGTCTTCGGGCGGGGTAGAGGCGCAGATGGGTGAAGCAGGTCTGCGAAGCACTAGAGGGAGATACCGGGGCCGCGCTACTGCCCTGGCCGGTTGGGGGCCCCTGTCTCGGAGTCCGAGGGGGCTCAGCCGTGCGCCCCACCAGGCAGGAAGCTCGGCCGGGGTTTGGAGGAGGTGACTCTGTGGAACAGGCTCGGCCAGCTCTCCACACTGGGTGGAAAGACTGGTGTGAGCGTTGATAAGAAAAATGACTTGTTCAGCCCATTACTGTGGGTAGTGTGAGGAGAAGGGAGGAAGAAGATGGCTCCTGCCAGTGGGAGCGTACATGGCTGCGGTCACAGGGCCCCCTCATATACACAGATAGGCGAAGCAGACAAAAACTGCCTTGTGGGGAGCCGGGGCTTGTAAGTCCTGTCCAGCCTTGGAGGAGAGGGAGAGCGGCAGAGACGGGCGTGGACCTTCCAGAGGAGAAACGGACTTTCTTTATACCAGGACAACCTGTTCACTCTAGAGGTTAAGAGAATTTCTCGTCACTCAGTGAAAAGTTAGATCTGTGTCTTTTTTTTTTTTTTTTAGATCTGTGTCTTTCTAGTTCCTTTCCTGTGAATTTCTCCCTGAACCACCTAGGTCCCTGCTTGGTGCACTCATTTCTCATTTTCCTTTTAAAATGTAAACATTTTCTCCACCTTTTCTTTGCCACATAATTTATGGGATCTTAGTTCCCCAACCACACATTGAACTCAGGCCCTTGGCAGTGAGAGTATGGAGTCCTAACCACTGATTCAGTTCAGGTCAGTCGTGTCTGAGTCTTTTCCACCCCATGGACTGCGGCACCCCAGGCTTCCCTGTCCATCACCAGCTCCCAGAGTTTGCTCAAACTCATGTCCAACAAGTCCATGATGCAATCCAGCCATCCCATCATCTGTCAGCCCTCCTATCTCATCCTGACTCCTTCTACTCCTGCCTTCACTCTTTCCCAGAATCAGGATTTCAAATGAATATTTGGTGTTGATTTCCTTTAGGATTGACTGGTTTGATCTTGCAGACCAAGGGACACCAACTCCAAGAGCTCACTCAAACTTCTGTCCATTGAATTGGTGATGCCATCCAACCATCTCATCCTCTGTTGTCTCCTTCTCCTCCTGCCTTCAGTCTTTACCAGCCTCAGAGTCTTTTTCAGTGAGTCAGTTCTTCACATCAAGTGGCCAAAGTATTGGAGCTTCAGCTTCATTATCAGTCCTCCCAATGAATATTCAGGACTGATTTCCTTCAGGATGGAGTGATTTGATCTCCTTACAGTCCAAGGGACTTTCAGGAGTCTTCTCCAACACCATAGTTCAAAAATGTGAATTCTTTGGTGCTCAGCGTGCTTTATGGTCCAAATCTCACATCCATACATGACTACTGGAAAAACCATAGCTTTGACTATATGGACCTTTGTTGGCAAAGTGATGTCTCTGCTTTTTAATAGGCTGTCTAGGTTGGTCATAACTTTTCTTCCAAGGAGTGTCTTTTAATTTCATGGCTGCAGTCATTTTGGAGCCCAAGAAAATAAAGTCTGTCACTGTTTCCCCATCTGTTTGCCATAAAGTGATGGGACTGGAGCCACGGTCTTCATTTTTTGAATGTTGAGTTTTAAGCCAGCTTTTTCACTCTCTTTCACTTTCATCAAGAAGCTCTTTAGTTCCTCTTTGCTTTCTGCCATAAGGGTGGCATCATCTGCATATCTGAGGTTATTGATATTTCTGCCGGCAATCTTGATTCCAGCTTGTGCTTCATCCAGTCCAGCATTTTGCATGATGTACTCTGCATAGAAGTTAAATAAGCAGAGTGACAATATACAGCCTTGACGTATCCCAATTTTGAACCAGTTCATTTTTCTATGTCCGTTTCTTTTTTTTTTTTTATCCATGTCCATTTCTAACTGTTGCTTCTTGACCTACATACAGATTTCTCAGGAGGCAGGTAAGGTGATCTGGTATTCCCATCTCTTTAAAAATTTTCCACAGTTTGTTGTGATCCACACAGTCAAGAGACTTTAGTGTAGTCAATGAAGTAGATGTAGGTGTTTACCTGGAAATCACCTTGCTTTCTCTGTGATCCAGCTGATGTTGGCAATTTGATCTCTGGCTCCTCTCTGCCTTTTCTAAAACCAACTTGAACATCTGAAACTTGTCAACTTATTATGTACTGTTGAAGCCTAACTTGGAGAATTTTGAGCATTTCTTTGCTAGTGGGTGAGATGAGTGCAATTGTGTGGTAGTTTGAACATTCTTTGACATTGCCTTTCTTTGGGATTGGAATGAAAACTGACTTTTTCCAGTCCTCTGGCCACTGCTGAGTTTTCCAAATTTGCTGGCATATTGAGTGCAGCACTTTCACAGCATCCTCTTTTAGGATTTGAAATAGCTCAATTGGAATTCCATCACCTCCACTAGCTTTGTTCATAGTGATGCTTCCTAAGGCCCACTTGACTTCACATTCCAGGATGTGTGGGTCTAGGTGAGTGATCACATACTCATGATAATCTGGGTCATAAAGATCTTTTTGGTATAGTTTTTCTGTGTATCCGTGCCACCACTTCTTAATATTTTCTGCTTCTGTTAGGTCCATGCTGTTTCTGTCCTTTATTATGCCTACCTTTGCATGAAATGTTCCTGTGGTGTCTCTTAATTTTCTTGAAGAGATCTCTAGTCTTTCCCATCTATTGTTTACCTCTATCTCTTTGCATTGGTCACTTAGGAAGGCTTTCTTTGCTATGCTTTGGAACTCTGAGTTCAAGTGGGTATATCTTTCCTTATCTCTTTTGCCTTTTGCTTCTTTTCTTTTCTCAGCCGTTTGTAAGGCCTCCTCAGACAGTCATTTTGCCTGGACTGTCAGGGAATTCCCTTTCCACCTGTTAATATGAAAGTGTGTGTGTGTGTGTGTGTGTTCAGTCGCTCAGTTGTGTCCCACTCTGCGGGCCCCGTGTACTATAGCCTGCCAGGCTCCCCTGTCCATGGGATTTTTCCATGCAAGAGTACTGGAGTAGGTTGCCATTTCCTACTCCAGGGCATCTTGCTGGCACAAGGATCAAACCCGCATCTCTTTGGCAAGTGGATTCTTTACCACTAGCACCACCTGGGAAGCCCAAAATGAAAGCTTACGTTGTTATTTTTTATGGCTACATAGTTTGTTGTGGGAGGTGCTATCATTGTCCCTGTGGATGGATATTTAGGTTTTACTTTTTCACTCAAAAAAGGATACTATGATGAACATCTTTGAGGCCAGATCTATCTGCTCACCAGGAATGATTTCACAAGTAGACCGTTGGGTCAGTGTGTGGGTGTTTTTCAGGGATTGATGAGTGTGACCAGTCTGCTTTCCAGGAGCTGTGTGGTTCTGAGCTCAGTGGATGAGGGTCCCCACAACCCCTATCTCAACTGGCTCTTGGCATCCTTCTGGAATCAAAACCTTTGCAGGACCTTCTTACCTACTCACTGGGTCACAGGATTGAAGTGGGAGCCCTTTCTCGTTTCTTGTTTCAGCTGGCAAAACTCAAGTCTCAGAAGCTGCTGTACCCCCCAGAAAGAAGAGGAAGAAAGCGCAGAAGAAATCCCGGGAGCGGGAGAAGAAGACTGCAAAGCCCAAGGCCCAGGCCCCTGCGGAGAAGTCTGAGGCCAGGAAGCCAGAGGCAGCCGAGGAGGAGAAGGAGGAGGAGGAAGCCGCCCGCTCCACCAGGGCCCCGGCGGGTGAGGGAGGCAGGCAGGCAGGGCCCCCCAGGATCTGGGATAGGTGCAAATGCAGCCCTCTCTGGTCGTAGCAACACGATTAGGTACACTGGGTGCCTCAGGAGTTGGCGGCACCCAGACATGGGTTTGGCCCGTGCTACACGAGCGGGCCCTGCCCCGGAGGCCAGTCCAGCGTGAAGAGGTGAAGAGCTCTCTGAACCTGCGCAGGTCCGCTGGTGGCCACTGGCGGGGAGGAGGCGGCCGCCCACGGAGGCGCTCCTTTCGTATTTCTGACCCTCCTTTGCAGATGGCCTGGCCACAGAGCCCGACTCGTTATTCGCCTTGGATGTTCTGCGGCAGCTCCTGCATGAGAAGATTGAGGAGGCGCGGGGCCAGGTAGGTGGGGGGCGGGGTGTGGGCAGGGGTCTCGGTGCTGCAGGGCTTTCCCCACCCCGGGGCTCTCCGAGGTCGGCTCCCTGCTCTGCCGGCCATCACGGGCCTGACGGGGGGGGCCTTGGCAGCTCTGTTCTGCGGGAGGTCAGGTGCCATTCTCTGGGGGGGCGGTGCAGGCTAAGCCCCCGTGTTGAGCTCCTGGCTCTTCTCTGCTGTGGCCTTTGAGAGGCTCAGGCTCCTCCCTCAGCAGCATCTCCTAGGCGTTTGTTCTTCTGATTGTCCTGACGGCCCTGAGGTGAGCCAGGGCCTGAGATGAGGCGACCTCCCCGAGGGGACCGCCACACGACTGACTGACCCTCCAGGATGTGAACCAGCCTGAGTGCCGAGTGCTGAATGGGGTCGCCGCCCCCTCCTTTCCCTGGGGACCTCCCCCAGCCTCTCGCCGTGTGGGGACAGGCCCGGGGGCCCTGCCTTCCTGCAGACGCTCGTCTGCCCGGCGAGCTCAGAGTAGCGCTGGGCTCTGCACAGGCAGCGCTGCCTCGTCCTGACCGAGCCTCCCCGCCTGGTGGGGCGCCTGAGCCTGGCTGACCAAACGGGGGCGGTGTGCCCTTTGCCGGGTTGTCGGGTAGACTCAGTGGCCTCTTCTGGGGAGGAGCCCTGGCATGTGGCCTCTGCCTGGAATCCGGAAGGTGTGGTTCTCACGGCGTCCCCTCGTCCTTCTTTCTGGTGCACTCTGGGGCCAGGTCATCTTGGGGTGGAACGCCGCGCTTCGCCGGCCCTTCTCCTGACCTGATTGCATGTGCTAAGCTAGGGGCCCCGTTTCCAGAACTTTGTGAGTGAGCGCGGGATCGCCCTGCAGGGTAGCGTCAAGGAGCTGTCTGCCGCCGTTTTGGAGAAAAGACGCCGGAGGAAGCAGGAGCGCGACCGGAAAAAGAGGAAGCGGAGGGAGCTGAGAGCAAAGGAGAAGGCTGCCGCGGCACTGGAGGCGGCAAAGGCCACCGAGCCGGGCCCTCGGGTGCCCGGGGCGGAGACGCAGGCCCAGCTGGGGCTGCTCTTCAACAAGGTGAGTGCCCTGCGCTGCCGCTGGGCGGGCAGAAGTGGGCCCCCGGGGCAGGCGGGGAGCAGCCCTCAGGTCGCGCCGCCCTCTCCCCCGAGGTGGAGGTGACCGAGGAGGAGCCGGCCAGCAAGGCCCAGCGCCGGAAGGAGAAGAGGCAGAAGCTGAAGGGGAACCTGACGCCCCTGACCGGCAGAAACTACCGGCAGCTGCTGGAGCGCCTGCAGGCACGGCAGGCCCGGCTGGAGGAGCTGCGGGACCGGGACGCGGGGCAGGCCCAGGAGCTCGAGGCCAAGATGCGCTGGACCAACCTGCTGTACAAGGCCGAGGGCGTGAGGATCCGCGACAACGAGCGCCTGCTGCAGGAGGCCCTGAAGCGCAAGGAGCGGCGGCGCGCACAGCGCCTGCGTGCCTGGGAAAAGCGCACGGCGCACGTGGTGGGCAAGATGCAGCAGCGGCAGGACCGGCGGCGGCAGAACCTGCGCAAGAAGAAGGTGGCCAGGGCCGAGCGGCGCCTGGAGAAGGCCCGCAAGAAGGGCCGCATCCTGCCCCAAGACCTGGAGCGCGCCGGCCTGGCCTGAGGCCCGGGCTGCCCGACCCCATCCCTTGTGGGGCAGGCTCCGGTGGAAAGCGGACTCTGCCACGTGTCCCTTGCCGGCTTGTCCTGGGCTCAGGCCCCACGTGCAGAAGAGCCTTCAGATCCGGGGAAGGGGGTGATCCAGCTCCAGCCGCCTCTTATTAGGCCAGAGACTCCCTGCAGGTTGTGGGGCAGTGGACCAGGGAGCTGTGAGGAGGGAGTGGGCATCTAGGGAGGGCTTTGCTGGCCACCTCTTCCTCTCATTGTCACAGGAGCAGGAAGGGCACGGCCGCTGTGACTGCGGTGTTAGCCCCAGCCTCGTTTGGAAAGGGTGGAAACCAGCTCCTGCAGCAGAGCTGGAGTGGAGTTGATGGGCTTGATAGTGGAGAAGGCAGGGCGGCCCCAGGCTGGCTGTAACCGAGTTACACCAAGTTGATATGTAAAGTGGGTAAAGAGACTTTAAGGTGAAGATGGTTATTAAAAATTCTAACTACTAAAAGACAGAAACATTGTTATTGGGGTAGGAGGGAAAAGATAATGGAACTGGATGGATAATATCAGTCTAGGGGGAGGCGGGAGAGAAGGGGTAAAACCTGGAGAACTACGTGGGGTGAATGGAAGGTACACAGTGACAGAGGTAAGTCTAGGCCCACACGCCGTCACAGTGAACGCACACAGATTAGACTAAATTCCAGTTAAACAGATGGTAACCAAAACAAAACTGGTATGACTGTATCATTAGATGATGATGTGTTCCTAGAATTTAAAAGGTATTGCTAGAGAGAAAAGATGTCACTGAATAATGAAATGGGTTCAGATCACCTGTAAGGTAAAACAGCCTTGCACCAGAAACAGCTTCAGATCTATCTAACAGAAGCTGACACAACTTCAAGGAGAAGTCAGTTCACAAACCCAAGTGGGAGATGTTTAACATCTGTACTAGGGACTGATGATCAAGTAGACAAAATCAGATGGATACGGAAGATTCAGATGAGACCGTTTATAAGCTTGGTCTGATGGACACACAGAGGCCACTCTTCTGAGAACAGCGTGAGGGACTTCCCCAGCGGTCCAGTGGTTCTGTTCCATCCAGTCAGTCCGTCACAGCCAACTCTTGGTGTTCCCATGGACTGCAGCACACCAGGCTTTCCTGTCCATCACCAACTCCTGGAGCTTGCTCAAACTCATGTCCATCAAGTTGGTGATGGACTCTGTTCCAATGCAGAGGTACGGGTTCAATCCCTAGTTGGGAAACTAAAGATTCCAGGTGCTGCGGGGTGCAGCCAACATTTTTTTTAAAGAAATTTAAAAAAAAACAACCTCAAGCACACGTGGGACAGTGGTGAAAACTGACCATCACCTAGTCCACAAAGCCAGTCATATTTCAAAGCTTTAGCATCATACAAAGTGTGTTATTGGGCCATAAAACATTTTAAAAATTTCAGAGGTAACCGTTACATATTTGGAAATTTAAAAACACACTTCTAAATTACTTGTCAAAGAATCCTCGTAGATGTGAGAGACTGTTTAGGATTGGAAGATAATGGAAGTGGTGTGCATTAAAATTTGTGGGCCACAGCTGAGGCAGTGCAAAAAGCACTTTATAGCTGTGAAGCTGTGTTTATATGTATCCTTGGTTATAAATGTTAGGAAGTGATTCCATCATGCAGCACAATTTCCTGCTTGACCTAGAGCCTCATTCCTGGGTTCTGTTGACCCACTCTGCCCCTGGCAGTTGCTTCTGAATTACTGTGCACACGTTGCAGTCAGGAGAGTGTGACCCCCTGTGGCAGCCGCAGGAGCATCTCAGCGCCCAGTGGACGTGTATCATCGGGTGTTCCGCCCCTTCCCCTGAAGCCTGGGAGGCCAGGAGCATGCCCCTCCAACTTAAGAGCGCCCAGTGGACGTGTATCAGTGGGTGTTCCGCGCCTTCCACTGAAGCCCGGAAGGCCAGGAGCATGCCCCTCCAACCTAGAGCGCCCGGTGGACGTGTATCATCGGGTGTTCCGCCCCTTCCCCTGAAGCCCGGAAGGCCAGGAGCATCTCAGCACCCGGTGGACGTGTATCATCGGGTATTCTGCACCTTCCCCTGAAGCCCAGAAGGCCAGGAGCATCTCAGTGCCTGGTGGACGTGTATCATCGTGTGTTCTGCCCCTTCCCCTGAAGCCCGGAAGGCCAGGAGCATCTCAGCACTCGGTGGACGTGTATCATCGGGTATTCCGCGCCTTCCCCTGAAGCCCGGAAGGCCAGGAGCATCTCAGTGCCCGGTGGACGTGTATCATCGGGTATTCTGCGCCTTCCCCTGAAGCCCAGAAGGCCAGGAGCATGCCCCTCCAACCTAGAGCGCCCAGTGGATGTGTGTCATCGGGTGTTCCGCGCCTTCCCCTGAAGCCCGGAAGGCCAGGAGCATGCCCCTCCAACCTAGAGCACCCGGTGGACGTGTATCAGTGGGTGTTCCGCACCTTCCCCTGAAGCCCGGAAGGCCAGGAGCATGCCCCTCCAACCTAGGGAGCTGCTGCGGCCTTAGTTTCATGTAGCTGGTGTGCGAAGCCAGCAAATGGTGCATTTTGGTGGCAGGTGGCATCAAGCTGACTTAGTTGCTCTTTGCTATGTGGTATCCTCCCAGATCAGGGATCAAACCCATGTCATCTGCACTGGCAGGCAAATTCTCTACCACTGAGCCACCAGGGAAGCCGCTCAAACTCTTATGACTGTGACTTGGTGATTGACCACATGGGTCCTACTGAGATCTTGCTCTTACGTATCAGTAGAGACAAGGTGAGATGGGGGTGAAATGGAGGAAACTGGCTTCACCTTGGAACTAACTGCCTCAGGTGAGAGTTTTTAGATAGGGCAGGGACTGATTTCTCAAGGTGGTCCTTGGTAGGTTGGATATTCAGGGTGCATGAGGTACCCAGTATTGTCAAAATACCCCAATTCAATTCCCAGGACTGATGAGTGCTCCAACTTTTCCATGAGAGATCTGGTAAGGTTGTGAATTCACCTGTTGGTAGGATTTGCTGGTGAACTAGCTAAAACTTTGGTTTTCCCTTAATTCAGTCTTGGCAGTTGCAAACTCAGAGATTCTTCTACAAAGTAAGAGAAAGTTCCTGATTCTCAGTCCTTGTCTTAACTTAAAACTTTAGGACTTTGAGCCTGTCATTGTCTATTGACTACCCAGCACTGTTAGAGGAGACCTTCCCACCCCCCACTGCCTTGAGTAGTCCTTGAGTTTCTCAAGTCTTTCTCATTGTTTTTAAGGTGGTGTCAGCTAGTCTCAAAGTCTTGCCTTCAAAAGATATTTGTCTCTGGTGTCCACATCTCCAGATAAGTTATTTTGTAGCTGTTTGTCAATATATCCAGAGTCCACTCCCTTGGTACTATCTAGATTACTACCCTCTGCTAAAATCATAGGCTTCCCAGGTGGCACTAGTAGTAAGGAATCCACACGCCGATGCAGAAAACGTAAGAAATGTGGGTTCAGTTCCTGGGTTGGGAAGATCCCCTGGAGAAGTGCATAGCAACTCACTCTGGTATTCTTGCCTGGAGAATTCCACAGGCAGAGGAGCCTGGTGGGCTACAGTCGATAGGGTTGCTAAGAGTCAATACGACAGAAGCGCCTTAGCATACACAGCTAAAATCCAGCCAGATAACAAATCCCAGATTTTCCCTAGTTCATTCATGACAGGTCATGTTATGTTGCATTCACAAAAGTGCTTTTTAACAAAACTAATAGTTTAAAGCCACACTGATAACTGGATATGTCTTAGCAGCTCTGAATAGAGGAAAGTGTCCTCAACTGGATAAAAGTTTACCAAAAGTGTAAAAATACCATCATCCTTAATACCATCATCAGAGTTTTCTTGCCAAGATCAAGAGCAAGGCAAGAATGTTGCTTCTCACAGCTGCTTTTCAGTGCCACACAAGAAGTCCTAGCACATGCAACAAGAAAAATGAAACACGCAGATTGGGAAGGAAGAAGTCAAACTGTCTCTGCAAATGACATGATCATCTATGTAAACATCCGAAAGACAACAAACCTGAAACTAATAAGTGATTATATCAGGGCTGCAGGGTACAAAATAAACATGTGAAAGTCAGCTGCTTCCCTGTATACCAGTAATGAACAAGTGGACTTTGAAATCAGTAATGTATTATCATTTACACTATGTGAAAATTGATACAAGCATACCTCACATATATTGCAGTTTATTGCAATGTCCCGATATTGCAGATAGCCAGACCACCACAATAAAGTGAATATTGCAGTAAAGTCACACCTTTTTCTTTTGTTTCCCAGAGCATATAAAAGTTATGTTTACACTATATTGTGGTCAGTGGTTAAGTGTGCAATAATAACATGTCTAAAAAAATGCACATACCCATACTTTAATTTTAAAAATACTACCGAAAAATGCTGTCATCTGAACCTTCAGTGAGTTGTATTAAAATCAAAGATCACAGATCACTATAACAAATACAATAATAGTGTAAAGTTTTCTTTCAATATTGTGAGAGTTGCCAAAATGGGACATAGAGACGTGAAGTAAGAAAATGCTGTTGGGAAAATGGTGCTAACAGACTTGCTTGATGCAGGCTTGGTGCACCAACCTTCAGGTTTTAAAAAAGCAGTATCTTTGATGTTCAGTAAGGCAATGTGCAGTAAGAGACGGTGTCCCTGTAAAAGGGAACCTTGCTAAAATGGAGCTGAAAGGACAGAAGCAGAAGCTCTCACGCACGTATCTCTCAATACAGCGTCCATAGGAGATGGGCCTTACCTCTCAGGCAGGAGTGATGCCACTACTGCCAACAGGAGGAAGAGAGACTCTCGTTGCCTGGTGAGAGCTCAATGTCAGGCTGTCACAGCTCAGCTAATGAAAATCCACTGTGCATCAAACCCCAGTTTACTCCCATGGACACTTAATTTCTAGTAGCCCTTCCCAGCTCCTCCTCTGCTCTGTAAAGGAGTTTCCTTGCAACTTCCGTGGTGGCCCAGTGGTAAAGAATCTGCCTTGCAATGCAGGGTCAGTGGGTTCAAACGTTGGTCAGGGAACTGAGATCCCATATGCCACAGGGCACCTTAGTCCACAAGGAAGAACGCCCGAGCCCATGCACCATAGCTAGAGAGTCCATGCACTGCGAGGAAAAGGTCCCGGAGACCCAAGGAAGACCCTACGTGCTGCAACTAAGACCTGATGCAGCCAATAGGTTTTTTAAAAAGTCTCCTTTACTGGACTTGCATGCAGGTCACCGTAGTTGCATGTCCTGAATTGCAATTATTTGCTGCTCCTGAATATGCCTTTTGTTGGTGGTGGTGGTGAAATAACTGGCTATCTTATTGCTTTAGGTTAGCAATTAGCTTCCCCAAAATGAAGTAATTAGGTTTAAGTCTAACAAGCTATATATTTGATCTATATACCAAAACTCTGATGAAAGAGACCAAAAGAAGAACTAAATAAATGGAGAGAGATTCTATGTTCATGGATAGGGAGACTCGAT